TTTTGGATATATATATATATATATATATATATATATATATTACTTTTTTTGGTTTAATACAATAAAAATTATCTATAAAAGAAAAGAAATATGATACATTAGCCAGTATCAATGAAATAGTATAATTGAATGGATAATGCTTAGCCGAATATGCATTATCCATTCAATCATTTCTCAAAAGGAAAATAAAAATAGAGTACAAATAGAGATTTGACAAAAAATACAATGCCGAGTATGATTGAAATTGAAAAAGTTTAGTTCAAACTTTTAGCTAAAATTTCTCAAATTTTAATTCCAGGATTGTCAAGAAAATTAAGTCAAAAATTAAATCAATTAAATTCATGCTATGTTTGGAAGCCCCAAATCGCTGGCATGAACTTAGAATTGAATTTTTTTTAAGTAAAACTTAAAATTAAATATCTTTCAATCCAAAATTTAAAGTACAACTTCAGTGACCCAAATACAACATAAAGGTTTTAAAAGCTGTAATATGTAAATAAATAGTGAGAAAGGCGGCAATGGAGTGAGTTTCAAATAGTAAACTTTTGAATTAAATTTAGTGAGGGCGAAAAAAAAAAAGTATATCTAAGGTGATGCAAATTAGTTGGAATAGAATGTATGATCCTAAGTAAAGGGGCAGTCTAGTTTCAAAGTTACTGAAACATTGAATTTTGCTCTGTTAGATAAATTAGCTTGGATATTGGAAATTGGAGACAAATAGAATTCTTCAAAATTTTCAAGCACAAATATTTTTACTAAGTAGGGACTTTTTGGACTCAACTTGTGGAGTTAATGCTTCTTGGGTCTAGAAGAAGTATTTCAGCTGCAAAAAGGTGGTGTGTTAAAAAGTGGGGAATAACAAATGGTTCTCAGGTTAAGCTACCATACCAAACTAACTTTGTGGTTGCTACAAATGGGACTCAATTTCTATAAATGCGATTACGTGTAAACACGATTTTACCTTTTCAGGTCAAGAATCACAGTTACGATATCGTTCGTAATAGCAGTCGCATATCCTATAACCTGGTGTAATCATTAACATTGTTGACAATAAGCTAAGCAAGTAAACTTAATAGGACACATGAATAAGAGGCGTGACTTCAATAGACGCTTAATGTTATTTATATAGATTATAAATTTCTTAATCATTAAATATTTATGCTTGGAAAAAAATTAATAACACATTTGATTTGGCATGTTTTTCATACATATACATAATAAAATAAAAAACAAAAAAATAACTTGGTCATTACTTTTCTATTTATTGTTACAGCCTCACAATTATACAATGTTAGGCTTGTTAAACAGGGTGGAGGTGGGGTATGGACAGGTCATTGCTTATTATTTGTTAAACCCATTCGTGCTTGTGAATGGAATGAGATTCTGTCAAATGGAATATCTGGTACCAACTTGATAATAATAATTACTAGTGGGAAAAAATAATAATAAAAAGACAACCTTGGTACCATGAGAGAAAGTCAATGACATATTTTAAATTTCTCTGGAAAATTAATGATAAGATAAAGTTAATAAAACAATAGTAATATCTTTAAATTGTATCTTAATCTAATAGCAATTTGTGAGTATTTAAATCTCATGACTTGTAAAGAAATATTAATTCTTATATATTCACAAAGAAGAGTGGACAGAATCATCAAAAGAGAGTATGAAAGAGGAACAACCACAAGACACAGACAGTTTTAAAGTTTGAGAGAGAGAGAGAGAGAATTCTGAACTCTAGCTTTTTATAAGAATATTAGTTATCAAAAAAAAATAAAAAAATAAAAAAGAATCAAACTCAATTAGCCCAATGTAGTCAGTTCTGAACCAGAGAGAGAGAGAATCAAACTCTATTAGCCTCATGTAGTCAGTTCTGAACCATTCACTTTTATCACTTACTCCTTTGTCTTTACTTCTAAACAAACTAAAAAAATTCACTTTAAAAATATATAATATGAATCAAACTCTGGGCTTGTTTTGGTTGCATGTCAATAATTTCTTTACTATACAACAGTGACATTTGATTCCTCAAGTTGATTAATGATTGTTGATTGTTACATTACATGATTCTACTTCTCCAAATAAATTATAATTTATAGGCCATGGTGAAATATGAGATTATTATTACTTTTTGATGTGTCACATGACAATATTTTGGAGATGGAATGGAGAGAACACATGACTAATACCAATTGATTATTTATTTATTTATATTAAAATGATAAGAATCAAACTCTAATCTCACCTTTTCTTTATCAAATGGCACTTGCTAAGAAGTGTAAGTACCTAGTATTTGGTGGGCTCAAAATCATAATAAAGTAATAAATGGTTAGGTATAACTTGCAATATAATGGTATCTGAGGTGGATTGAAAGAGATGGAAGTCCAGACAAACTCGAGAGGGAGATAAAAAGAGAAATACAAAAACACCATTGACTCCCTTGATGAAGGTGTGAAGTGTGGAGTCTAAACCTCTCTTTATGTGGGAGGTCATTTCCTCCCTCTTTTTGTCTACCCATTTTCGTGGCCTTAGATCATTTCTCTTTATAGGCTGAGTGAGTGTGGGTGATGTCATCAATGACATCACATGTGAGTCCATTAACTAAATGATTAAAAGAGTTTAATTTTTCAAATAATTATAAAGTAATGTTAATTAAGATGGGGTTAAATACTCGGGAGTCAAAATGGTATTTTTCTCTGTACAAGTCTTTCTCTCTACAAGTCAGGCGAGTGTCGACTCGACGAACCCTAGACTTCAGCCACCAGCCAAAACTTCCTCAGATCCCAGGTAATCTTGAGTCCTACTCCCAACTCAGGTCTTCACTCTTCTGTTCGAAGTATACTGATATCGCGGTAACTTTGATTGTTGACCAGGTTATGTGGGCTATCGCTACTAATGTGGTGTAACTCATTGATCGTTTGACCGAGTTGTGTGGGCCATTGTTGATGATGTGGTGTTTGCCATGTGGACTCGAGGGTACGACACCCACAAGAAGCATGGAGAATGACACAACACATACAAGATATTGTTGAGTGTTTCTCAATTTTATCATGGTGTATAATTCAAAATGGAGTTATGAAGAGCTTGAGGTGTAGCTATGATGGAGCACATGAAGACATAGTCATTGATTGAATATTTACGTTGGCCACTGCCAAAGATGAACCAGTTCAAGTGTGGTGTTGACTTTAGTTACTGCCAAAGTTAAATTGGTATTAAATCGGTTCAAGTTGGGGCAGTGAATTGCACCACATATGACAATAAAGTTGAACTGGTTCAAGTGGGGTTGAACCGGTTCAACTCTCTTGTGAAGTTACGTGAATTGATTTCCTTATTGGTTGGACTAGGAAAAAAAAAAACCGAAGATTTGGTACAGAAGTTATATTTGCTATTTTTAGAGTTGAAGACAAATATGGTAATTCCTTGTAGGCAAGTTGGGTAATACTTGTCTAATAAGGAATTGAGTTTTGAAGACTCTATAAATAGAGATAGGTTTAGAGAGAGAAAATTGTAGAGAGAAAAAAGAGATTTGAGATTGTGAGAAGAAAAATAGTGTGTAATCAAGTTTTTTGAAGTAAAGTTAATTGTTCTTCGCCCGTGGACTAGGCAATTTGCCAAGCCACATAAATCTCATTTTGCTTATGTGTTTTTATTTGTTATATTTGTTAACTGTGTGTGAAACCCCAACAATGACAAGGATATGTTGACCATTCAATGTCTGAAATGTGTTGATGTAAGTGTTCGAGATGTGTTGGATAAGTGTTTGAAATAACAAAAATTATTTTTAAATTACAAAAATGAAGTGTTGGACATGTGTCCAAAAATGTTTATGAAGTGTCCACTTGACAGTATGCCATGGCGAAACGTTTGGACCCCTTTTGTAATGTAATACATTTTTACAGTAAGCTTATAACTTTTTTTCTCATCTTGGTAAAAAAAACACACTCACAAATTCACTTGTCCCCTGCAGGGACTTGAATCTTCGACCTTCTAATTTGGAAGGTAATGATCAAGTAATACTGAACTACAAGCCTTTGGTATAAAATTATAACATTTAACGGTAAGAAATTTTGTAATAATTATAACTAAGCAAATTTATTAGGTGACACTACAACTTATTTTTTTTCTCTCATTGGCAAGAAACTTACACACTCACTTCGCCGTGTCAGGATTTGAACCCATACTCTCCACTTGACCTAACTGGTTCAATTTTTTATAAATAATTTTCTATTTAAAAATATAAAAAATAGAATTTATTTGATTGATGATTTACCAATTTAACTATATACCTACTTAAAAAAGGAATAAATTACTGGTCTCCGTATAAAATATTTAAATAATAGGGACCTCTCCTCTAGTTTAAAAAATAACATTGATTTTCCCTGTAGTTATGGTGAGTGTAACATTGACCTCTTGTCATAAACTTCACCAATATTGTTTGCCATGTCTGAAAAAATTGAAAAAAATCATGTTTGCCTTAAAATGCTTGAGATTGCATTTTTGTTCATATATTGTAATGGTAAAAGTATAATGGGTATAATTGTTATTTTATGTATTCAGTAAACCAACAATATTAAAAGGGGAGATGAGTGTTATTATTAAAGTTATAGGGAAAGTCCTTATTATTTAAACATTCTTTAAGACAGTCAATATAATTTACCCCAAGAAAGAAAAAAATAATATTGAGACTATTTCACACAATACTTTTTTACCCAAATGCAAATGCCATCACAAAGTACAGATGAACAATAAAATTTCAATTAAATTATATTATATTTACAGTCTTATTAATAAGAAACTAATTTTAGAAACAATGGGCTATTCAAATTCAAATTCAAAAAAAAAAAGAAAAAAGAAAAAGACACTATATTACCAACTTCTAAAAATATGTTACAGGATTAACTTACACGCACCCTATAATGATGTGAGATTTATTTTGGAAAAAAAAAAGGTATTTAATTTAGAGAGAGAAAGACGCGGGGGGGGGGGGGGGGGAGGAGAGAGAGAGTGTCTAAACAGGAAACTGCAATAAAAAACAGAATGGAATCAATGACTAGAGCATAGACTGAAAAATTGGACTTTAAACAGCCCCCCTCCCCTCTCTCTCTAAAAGATATAATATGATTCCATTCAAGCCAATCAACGATCTTTGATTACTCTTTCTATACAAGCATTTCTCTCTCCTTTTATAGGTTCTGAAATCTAGCATTTCTCTCTCCTCTTTCGGTTAAATCTTGAAAAGAAAAAGAAAAAATTCACAACTCAGCTTTAGTTTTCATTTCTGGGTTTTGCAATTACTGTTGGAAAAATGACTATTGAGCAGAGAATTGATGTACCCAGTGATCAATTTCCGGTGGGTATGCGAGTTCTGGCCGTGGATGATGACCCAATTTGCCTTAAGCTGTTGGACACTCTGCTCCGAAAATGCAACTATCATGGTTTGTTTGCTACTTCTTTATTTTGATCTCTTGTTCATTTGTTTGATTTCTTTGAGAGTTTTTGCAACATGGGTATTTAGATTTGTGCTCTCTTGTTAAGATTTTGTACTTGATTTGGATTTTATAAGTGAGAATATATAGATTTGGACTCAATCTTTCTCTATCTCTCATGGTTGGTTTGGGAGATTTTGGATTTGTTCTTTTCTGCTGAGATTTTGTTCTTTATTTGGTGTTTTGAAGTGTTTTAGAAATGCTCTTTTCTTTCTCCACACACACATTCGGATTTGTTTATTCCAATTTTTTTGGGGATAAATATTTGTTTATGGGATTTTGAAGATGGGTTTTTTTTATATTTATGCTTTATTAGTAAGATTTTGTCTATCATTTTTTGATACACATATGAAATCTCTCTCTATGTTCCATAAATTGTACTCCAGATGATTCAAAATAGAATCTGAATGATTATTCACTTAATTTGTACATGGTGTCTAAGTTTCTCAGTTTAGTAGAGTTGAATTTTTTTCCTGAAAAATTAGATAGATTTTTTCCGATTATATTACTATTGTAGATATTCTCTTAACATGATACTTGATATTTTCTCTGTAATCTCGGATTAGGTTTTCGATTGCCTTCGGGTTTAAATGGGCCATTTTAGTTGTATATATATTTTTGATTCCTTAAATTCTTTAAACAAATGGTTCATTGATCTGCAGTTACGACTACTAGTCAAGCAATCACGGCGCTGAAGTTGTTGCGGGAAAACAAGAACAAGTTTGATTTGGTAATCAGTGATGTGCATATGCCAGATATGGATGGTTTTAAGCTGCTTGAGCTTGTTGGTCTTGAAATGGACCTACCTGTTATAAGTAAGCCAGTAATACATGATTTTTAGAGTATTTTATTCCTTTTCCTAGGCATTATGGCGTTATTCTTTGAATTCTTATAATTGCAAAAAACTTGTATATTTACCTGGAAAGCTACAAATGAAAAACTTATAATCTATCATCTTAAATGTAGTAAGATAATAGATTTCAGAACTGTGGTATACATATATGTTGTGTGTGGTCATTGCAAGCAGGTCTTGATTTTAATATTGGTTTGTTGATGTGGTTGCAGTGTTATCGGCTAATGGTGATCCGAAGCTTGTGATGAAGGGAATTACACATGGTGCTTGCGATTATTTGCTAAAACCCATTCGGATTGAGGAGCTAAAGAACATCTGGCAACATGTAATTAGGAAAAAGAAATATGATCCCAAGGACCGAAATAACTCTGAGAACCCTCATCCAGAAAATGGTAGAGGACAAGGGCTCACTGGGATAGGAGATTCTGATGAGAGTGGGAAGCTCATTAGGAAACGAAAGGACCAAGATGAAGATGAGGATGAGGATGAGGAAGAGGAGTATGATGAGAACGGAAACCGTAATGATGATACATCAGCCCAAAAGAAGCCTCGGGTTGTTTGGTCAGTGGAGCTGCATCGTAAGTTTGTTGCAGCTGTTAATCAATTGGGCTTTGACAGTAAGTTCTTCACCCCTCACCTTAGCCAAAGAAAATTGGCCTTCTCACAAAAATTTTATGTAACTAGTCCCAATGTATTTTTTGGCGTTTATAAACCAATTTATTTTGAATGATTTGTTTCAGCCTGCTAATAATTTCATAAACATCCTGATTATTGGTGATCGCATGAACTATCCCTAAACTCAAAAGTATATCTTCTTGTCATGATAAATTTCCGAATCTCTGAATTCATTGACATGCCTTATTTTTTTCCCATTTCATTCATCGTGCTGCCCATGCCTAGTAAGGCTCTCATTTTCTAATGTTCCTCCCAATGCAGAGGCTGTACCTAAAAGGATTCTAGATCTGATGAATGTGGAGAAGCTTACTAGGGAAAACGTGGCAAGCCATCTCCAGGCAAAAGCCCAATCTTTCTTGTGCGACTTCTTGTAATCTAATTTTTCTGTTTCCTGAAAGCTTATTAACTTTTTTTATGGTTGCAGAAATATAGGCTTTACCTGAAAAGGCTTAGTAGCCAGCAAGCTAATATGGTTGCAGTCTTAGGCAGTGCCGATCCTGCATATTTGCGAATGAATTCTCTGAATGGAATTGGAAATGTTCATGCAATGGCTGGATCTGGACAGTTTCAGAATGCTGCTTTGAGGTCCTCTCCTAATGGGATACTTGGAAGGTTGAACTCTCCTGCTGGTTTGGGTTTGCGGGGCCTTTCTTCTTCAGGAATGGTTCAACTAAATCACTCACAAAACTCAAGTAACCTGATGAATAATAAGTTCCACCCCATTATACCAGCAGGAAATCAAAATGGGAATATACTTCAAGGGATGCCAATGTCATTAGAACTTGATCAACTACAGCATAATAACAGTGTCACACGCATCGTAGAGCTCTCCAACACCACTGATGATCTGTCTGTTTTCCCCATTTCCAGTGGCTTCTCGGATACAAAAATGAATGCTGGTAGCTCTAGCAACTCTCTTCTTGATGTCCCAAACAATCCTTTGATGATGCAAGGACACCTTCAAGAGATACAACGGAGGGGAGTCTTGGGAGATCAATCTTCTGTTACAATTGCTTCCTCAAATTCAGGATTTCCTTCTCATTTGACGGACTTTAGTAGATTTAATGATGACTGGCCGATTGCTGTTCAGTCATCTGGGATCCAGTCTGATTCTTATGCATTAAATGACTGTTTGAAACAGGCCCCTTTGAGTGGCTTGACAGATGGTATTTCTTCATTTCCGATGCATATAGGCAGTAATCCACATGATGTTAGACCCATCGCTATGGTGACTGAACAATTGGTGGATTCGACTACAGATTTACAATGCCAAGTAGCCTCTATAAGCAGTATTGCTGGGCAAAATATGGACTACACCCAAAAACAAGGGTGGAATGATTTTAGACAGGAAGCATCTCACCACTCAAATCTTACGCGCAGTTCGGCGAACTCTCTGATCCCTCCTCGTGGTGTTATGGGTCCCTTTAGCCAGAGTTTGGACCCAAGTGCAAAAATGTACCATAAAAATACGGATTTCAATTCGGTTGGACAATCATATTTTGTTGATCCCCGACCCCTGCAGCAGAATGAGGTTGAGCAATCTGCTACAGCAACATCACTGAAGTTGAAGCACGGTTACCTCATGGAGCAAAGGAAGCCACAGGCCACTTCGGATTATGATAATGTTGGCTCCTTGGAAGATATTGTAAGTGTTATGATGAGACGGGCAGGGTCAAAATCTTGAGTTATCTGTTAGGGTTTCTGTTGGATGTTTATTTTACGGTGTCTACATAAGATTTAGATGTTGTTTAATAAACCTGAAAATTAAGTACTGAAATTTAAGTGCTGACATTTCAAGTAGTATTTCTAAATTGAGATTTTTTTAATTTTTATTTTCTTATATATATATATATATATTTGAATTTTAATTGTTCAGAATTCAGTGATAAGTAGTGAAGTCACTGTCAGTTAAAATTTTAACTCTTTTTTAGTGGCACTTATTTTTTTTTCAAGTGAGATTTAAATTTCATTATCAAAGGGCACTTAATTCATTCATAGTTGAGTCGTGAATTCGGTTATCAAACAGAACTTAGTTCTTGGTGATATTTGCTTTTAAGTCTTGATCTTGGGATGAAAAATCATCAGTGATGACCTAATGGTCTGGATTTGAGATATAATCTTCTTAGTTACTTAATGGCACAAAATGTTTCTGAGTATCATAACTAGTTTTACATGCTTTTTACATGTACCTGCTGGGATTGATGTTTGTTAAAGAAAACATTGTAACTTTGTTCTGTCTGTTACTCTTATTTAATAACATAAGCCAGGAGAGATAGCACTTCTATCAGGGGATAACATGAACTATATAAGTTATTGCATTATAGCTGCAGGCCTTATTTTAAAATTGGAACTCTTTCTTTTCTTGCTGTCATCTGTTGGTTTCGATACAATGGCAGATATCTTTGTATTTTTACCTAATTCACTGGTAAATATATATAACGCATTGTTACTAGAAATAATAAAAAGAAAACTGCACTTTCACTTTGCATCTGAATAATTGTTGGATTTATAATTACTTCATGGTAGAAACGATAAAGATTGTTGGTGATAATGTCTCATATTTTCTTACATTGGAACTTCAAGAAATTTAGATTGAATGTATACTTCAGGAAGAAAGGAATTCTGGTCTTGGGCACGTCCAGAGTCTTTGATACTACATGACTTCTTAAAATTTGGTGTCTGCTCTCATCTCTTTGCGTGTGCTGAGGACGGTTTCATATTTATAGTGTTGGCATGGTACTTGCGTTTGCAGGAGACTTGGGCAGTCTTGGGAGGCAGCACCCTTTTGCCTTGTGTGGTGGGTATGGAATGAATAGAACAGGCTGCACTTCAAGAGTCAATTACTCCATTGTCTAGTTTGAAACTGTTAATATTCAATGTGCTGCACTTTTGGATTTCTGGATTTTTTTTTTTGGTCATGTACATTATTTTGTAGAATTTATTGGTAATCAGAGTCTAGGTTAAAGAGCTTTTGCATATCTTGGGTTGTGCTGCTTTTGTACTTCGCTTTATTATACTTATTCTAATATAGGGAAAAAATAGTGGTCAAAAGCTTAATTATAGTACTACATAAGAGAGAAATTGGATGAGTCTACCTCCACTAGTCTCAATCATCTTCAAAAACTTCTGTTGGCAGCATAATTTAGTCACTGGTTTGGCATCAATTATCATTGCATCTACCGTATGCTAATGTTGATAAGGCAAAACCAATTCTATATTGTCTATTTGTTTTATAAATATATACTATATATAGAGAGAGAGAAAAAATAAGTTATATTCTCCATGGTCTTTGGTTTAATAAAGAATTCATCTGGACTGCCAAATATTTATTCTTGACTATTTCTGTGATAGTCAATAAGCCAAGTCTTTAGGGAAGTTGGCAGATTTTCTATACCACGTTGCAGTGCAAAGTCATTCCTATGTGACACTACTAGGCCATAGTACATGGATGACAGCATTTTGATCATTGTTTATTTAGATAGTTTCTCTGATCTATAATTAGCTTTTGACATTATATGAATAGTCTTTCAGAATTATGTGGAGTATGTTAGAGAGTTGCAAGATTCTAGTAGGTTGGAGAATCTATAGAAGCTAGTAGGCTGTAGAATATTATTGAATATTGAAAAACTTGCAAATATCTACACAGTAGACAAGATTCTAGATGTGATGAATGTTTTAGAGTCGACAGGATGCCCTATAAATATGGGCGGGAGATTCATTTATAACTAGGGGTGTTAAATTATGACACAATACGATAATACGACATGAGTTAAAAGGATTTAGGTTTAATATAAACAGGTTTGGGTTATAAAAGGATCGACACGATTAACTCGTTTATTTAGCCGTATCGGGTTAGGGTTGAGGAGTTCAACCTTTGTAACTCGTTTATGACCTATTTAACTCAACATGTTATAATCGTGATTATGACCTATTTAATATATTACTTGTTTAAACCCAATTATTATGGATAGTTAAGTTATTTCAATATAAACCTTGTTTATGCCTTATGATTTTTCTTTTTATTTTGAATATTTGAGTTAATTATAACAAATTTTTTCTATTATTTAGTATTTGATTAAATATTAAATGTCTCGTTTTAATAAACAGGTCATTAAACGGGTTAACACGTTTACCTGTTTAATAAACGGGTTGGGTTAGTATTAAAATTTTTGACATGATTATTAAATGGGTTGGGTTTAGGTTTACTTATTTAATATAATACCCTTATATCAATACGCCACGAACACGAATTACCACCCATATTTATAACTAACAAGCTCTAAGAGTGAAAGTGAGGCATTGAGTGTAGTAATTCACTACTTGTAATAGTGTGTGTGAGTGTGCAAGCACGGTAATCTATCTCCGTTTGTTTGCACCTTAAATGTTTGATTGTCTTTTCAATCTTGAAATTAATTCAACTATCAAACTATGCTGACAGTTGTACATTATAAAAACGAAAAACGTGATTCGCCTCGCTGAGATACATTTTTTCGAAAAGAGAGAAGAGAACCATTAAAATATATTGAAATCATGTATAGATTTGCATTTAGGTTTATTTATTCTCATGTCCACTCCTATATAAATTCTATTATTATTCACATCAATGTAATATATATTTTATCTCTTTCTCTTTTACATGGTATCAGAGCCATCAATTCTTTCTTTATTTTTTGTTATTTAATTTTTTGGTGGTGTTTCCGTCAAGAAAACACAATATGTTTTGTGTTTGAAACAGGCCCTTCACAAGTCCTTTCGCAAATGTGATTATATTAGACGAAAGTTAAGACTTAGATTGTCCCGACACAACCAAAAACAGCCGAAAAGATGCTTTCACCACGCCACCATGCGCCTCAAGTGGTAATCCCACTCTTTCATGTGCTTTTACGCGCACCAGCAGTAATCCCGCACCTCAACGTGTCGGATCAGCTCCGTCACCGCGCTCACACGCGCCATCAGTGGTCATTACACGCGCTTTCAACGTGGTGAATCTTTACAAATTCATCACCCTTCAGTTTATAGTAGTTACCAACGGAGATGGCAACGTCAACCTATTCATGCTCCGCACCTACCTCCAAGATTTTCATAGATCCCTCCTACGTCACCTGACATGTCAGCATTGGTGCAATGTCAGACACATTCTGTAATAGTAAATAATATACCATTGTAGTCACCGTCGGGGATAGCATCATCAGTCCCATCCTCGGTAGCGGTTAAACTTCAAACTTACGCTTCCGCATCCCAACCTTCAGTCTCAAGTCCATAATCAGCAAAAGTCTTATTTGGCCATTCAATTAGCCTCAAAGACACATCAGTAGCGGTGCCAGCAGCAGTGCCACATCAGATACAGTCAGCAGTAGTGCCATATCAGACACAGTCAGCAGTAGTGCCAGCAGTAGTGTCACGTCACCTGCCAGGTCAGTTGTTAATCGTGCCTCCATCTTCATCATGGGTGAAAATCCATCTCCATCAAATTTCCATCAATTTTCACGATCTTGCCTTCAATCTCAAGTTTGGTTTACTCACCTTGAGTTTGAGGAGCTGTTAGATTACAAGTTTACTCCTTTACCTACCACATAGGTTTCTTGCATACTACAAATTACCGTATATGGTTACACCTACCATATTACATACCAAAAGTTACTTGTTCATCACTCACCTATCCCTAAATCTTCTCCTATATATAATCTTTATGACATCAATACAATATACTTTCATCTATTTCTTTCTCTCTCTCTCTTTCATCAATACAATATTCTTTCATCTATGTACACCTACCATATCACATACCAAAAGTTACTTGTTCATCACTCACCTATCCCCAAATCTTCTCCCATATATAATCTTTATGACATCAATACAATATACTTTCATCTATTTCTTTCTCTCTTTCTTTTTCTCTTTTATAGTACATTTAACAAGAACCTCTTTTATACTACATTTAACAAGAACAAATAATGAAATATCTAAAAGGATTGCTCCACTATCTTTTCACCTTTCATTCCATATAATCTATATTGTCAAAAAAGATTTATATTCTTTTTAGAAACAACATTTTACTAATAGTAAAAATAAGGAAGATAACTTTGATTAGAATAATACTTAAAAATTATGAACACTTAAATCATATTCATAAGCTTAATTTGTTACGTAGTCAATCAACCAAGTCTAGAAGGGGAACTGCTTGGCAGTTTTCCTATATTAGTTCAATTTTACAAGATCATTTGACATTTGTCTCTTTAGTTCATCAACTTGCAAGAACTATTCAATTTACAAAATCATTGTCTCTTTATTCAACCTATAAGAATGATGACTTACAAGAAGATAATTGGTATGCCTTCAATTCACCAACTCACACACACAAATAAACAGCAACTCTTGAAACAGAACATGTCCCAAGCCTATGATTTTTGTTAGGGTTTAAAGAAATAAAGGACATGGTTGCTATTTTCTGCCTTGAAACAACAAATACAATAATAAATTTATAAGATGTTGTGTTCGCGCGGTCTTACGCCGGTCGATGGACTCTTTGCGGGTGTGTCAGAGTATTTGTACAAAACACTCAAAAATATGTTGATTCGAACACCAGCCTATCCCTTTTCCCGATGGCTGACTGTCAGGCGATTGTGTGGGAGAGAGACTAGTAAGAACTTCCAGCAAGGTTCTTTTTATACCTTATTTGTAGCAAGGACTTTTTATCAAAGGTGCTTAAAAGAAAATAAAATGCGATTTAAAGTAAATGAAAATGAACTGGCTGAATTGAAATGGACTTTAAAATAAATTGGCTGAATTGA